GCTGGCGGAAACGTGCCTCTGGGAAAAGGGGAGGAGGGCGAGAGGCGATAGGTCGCGATAGATCGCGATGCGAGTGCGTGTGACAAACGTGTGGTCGTTCGTAACCTTTCATACCACCTCCTCAGGACATCAAACCGGAGCGCATGCTTGAAAACCATCCAGTATTAATAAACTGTCCAGTTCTTTTCTAGCCGTAACTACCAAAAAAACAAAAAAAACCCTTGTTTGTTTGTTTGTTTGTTTTTTTGTTTTTTTTTTTTTTTTTTTAATGATGAACGGCGTTGCCAAAAGCCTTTTAAAATGGGTTAAAGGCGGCCGAGCTGCCGGGCTGAGGAGCGGCTCTGCTCACTCTGGGAAACAGCATCTTCGGCAACTGGTGCTGGGAATAGAGACGAGCTGCGATGACACCGGCGCGGCTGTGGTGGACGACGCCGGCAACGTGCTGGGGGAAGCGCTGCACTGTCAGAAGGAAGTCCATTTACAGTAAGAATATACTTCTCTCCGGGGCTTTTGCCTTAATCGTGATTTTACTGTTATTCTTACTTGCAATATTGTCCATATAAAAAGCCTTCTCTCCTCTAGAAAACTCGGTGAGAAGCGGGTAGGTGTAACCCATCTCTTGGGCTGCACCACGTTCTGCTTGAGATGTTGCGAAGGGTGAGGAAAGGAAAGCTGTGGATTTCACAAGTTTCCTCCAGGATTTTCTTTCAAAATGAGACATTACTTATCGAGCTGGAATTAAAGATGAAGTCGTTATTACTCCTAAAGCCACCAAATGTCTCACATTTTTTAAGGGAAAATTAATCAAATGGTGGGTAGGTACACGAACTGGCAAGTGAGGGGTTGTGAGTATTAAGTTACAGACGTTGTTTTTGAACAGTGTTGAACAGTGTGATACATTTAAGAGTTATATGTACCAAAAAAAAGGACAAATTACAGCCTTTTCTGACCTCCCAATGATAATTGCCTTCTCTTCAGTGCACAGATGCCCTTTACGCTAAACAAGGCATTTGCAAATGTAGTAGGGAAACCAGCAGGATGCAGCAAGGTTGAGAGATGTTTGAAATCTATTTTGCTGCCATTCTATCTGTCGCAAAACACAAACGTATCGTAATTCTTTTGGTTTTTACTAGAGCAGGTGGAATAATTCCTCTGGTGGCGCAGCAACTTCACAGAGAAAACATCGAGCGAGTAGTGAAAGAAGCGCTTAGCATCAGTGGAGTTTCTGCACGTGACCTTGCAGCTATTGCAACTACAGTGAAGCCGGGACTTGCCCTAAGCCTTGACGTGGGGCTGCGGTACAGCCTGGACCTGGTGAACAGGTACCAGAAGCCGTTCATACCCATTCACCACATGGAGGCTCACGCACTGACCATCAGACTGACGCAGCACGTGGAATTTCCCTTCTTAGTTCTTTTACTCTCTGGAGGCCACTGCATCTTGGCGGTAGCACGAGGAGTTTCAGATTTCCTTCTGCTCGGACAGACCATAGATATAGCACCGGGTGACATGCTGGATAAGGTAGTATTTCCTTACAGGAGTGAGTCTAGATTTTTCTTCTTTTTATTGCAGTTATACTACATAGTGGTAGTATTATCATCAGCCCGAGGACAGTAATACAGTGCAATATGAGCTTTACTTAACTTTTTTTTTTTCCTATTTTGAAATACCATAGATATAAGACACAAGAGGCTGTTAAAAATCTATGCATAGCATCAGTTGTAACATACGTGAATTAATTACATTTTCAGCAAATAGACAACATAACCAAAACTGGTGTTGGAAGTTTCACTGACACCCGTTATACAAATGAGTTTGAGAAGATTGATAGTGATGTTTTAAAGGATGCTGTCAGGTTTAAAACAATACATATTAAAACATTTCTTACCATTTTTTTTCTGTACAGTTTGAAAAGCCTGGTTTGGCTTTCAGAATCTTGAGTTTTCTGTGTCACTGAGTACAGTCTGTAAAATTGGCCACTTAGAGTTTTGTTCTCAAACACAAGTGGAGTTTTTAAACAGTATTTGTGTATACTAATTAAAAAAATGAGGGGGTGAGTGGAGTCAGAAAGGGGATTGTCAAAACCAGCTTTGTTCCTGTTTATCTGGTAATAACAGTATGGCAGTCCATGTGTTTCCTATAGCATAAAGATGGAGTAATTTATGTTGCCTGCAAATTTCATTGATCCTTATGTTTGCCCAAATTGTTCTAGGAAAAAAAAAAAAATCCAGCTGGTGTATGTCTTGTCCTTATTGTGCCCTGTTTGTAATTTCATGTTGGATTGGATTTTGTGGTGTCTAATTTTACTCCACGGACTACAATACAGTGACGCAGTTACAGGAGGAATTAATTTAGCTCTCTGTGCCGAGTCTGTTGTTTATTATCTCCGCAGGTAGCGAGGAGACTCTCTGTAAGGAAGCACCCAGAGTGCCACGGCATGGCTGGGGGGAAGGCCATCGAGCACTTGGCTCAAACTGGAAACCGGCAACAGCACTTGTTCAGACTTCCCATGCAACAATACCGTAACTGTGATTTTTCTTTTTCGGGACTTCAGAACCTTGTCAATAAAGCCATTATGCAAAAAGAAAAAGAAGAAGGTATTTTGAAACAAAGTCAGATACAAACCTTGTTTCTGATGACCTGTACTCAGGAAAACCCATGTGACCATACATTTTTATAGGTATTCAAGAAGGTGCGATCCTATCCTGTGTTAAGGATATTGCTGCTGCTGTACAGCACGCAGTGGCTCTTCATATTATCCAGCGGACATATCGAGCCATGCTGTTCTGCACAAAAAATAGCATATTATCATCAAAAAATGCAACTTTGGTGGGTATACATTTTTTTTCCCTTTTTATATTTGACTGTGTAACATCATTTGAAGATGCAGACGTCTTGTTGTACTTTCTCCCTTGACAGGTGAGGAAGATGTCAGTATGTATTGCATTGTTAAAATACCAGAATTAAAGTAATAGTCATACACGTATTTACAATTAAGTCTTTTGTAGTTTGGCTTCAAGCTATAAAGAGATTTTCTTACCATCTAATCTGACCTTCCATAAAAATCTAGGCCACATAATTTGACCTAGTGCTCCCCAATACTTGACAGCTGTTAGAGTTAAAATGTGCTTTTATTCAGGAATCTCTTAGCATAATAAGCTCACTTATCATACTCCTTTCTGATATGTTTTTGTCTTCATATATATGTTTTAATCTTCAAATGCGTTATTTACTGCTGTCTTCAGAACTTCATCTGATAACCTTTTTTTAAATAGGAGTGTGACCCATCAGTACTTTTAAGTTAATGCCTTTTTTTTCTTTTTGAAACTGCTGTCAGGTTTTATCAGGAGGAGTTGCCAGTAATCAGTATATCCGAAAAGGTCTACAGGCTTTGGCAGATGCAAATGATTTTGCTTTTCTGTGTCCTCCTCCAAGACTCTGCACTGATAATGGTGTTATGATTGCATGGTAAGAGTTGTTTCTCTT